GGTGAGCTCGGTGTTTACCATGGCGGCTATCTGCTAATTGAAAGGGAAATGCGGGTTCTTTAGCTGCTGCAACAGTCACAGTTTTACGGGGGGAAAAGCCAGAGGATATTTGTAAAAGAATGACCAACAGAACATCTTATTTTTATGACCCAGACGTGGGCAACTTTCATTACGGTGAGTTTGGTTGTCGTAGCGAACAGGCCTACAATGGGAATGGTGCTAATGAGAAGCTAGCTACATGCTAACAACCTCAGGGTTCTGTTTTATTTTACATTTAATTCTTACTGTTCCACGCTCTTGCTGTGCATTACGAGGTTGTTGTGCAGTTTTCGACGTAGCACACTTTTATATTCAATACTACATGTTTGTGCAAATTCCAAAGTACCTGGCTTGCTCGACTAGCTAACGTTAAGTTACCTGTTGTCTGTATTGACATTTATTACGATATGAAAACTGAGTTCGCTGTCAGCCTATTTGTACTCAGTGCATATTATGCCTTGTGCATGGTTTAAAGTTCAGTTAGATGCTCATGAGATAGAACTACTCACAGCATCAGACCTGAAGCTGATTGTAACCAGAATGCACACTTGACAAGATCTGTGCTGTTTTTGCAGGTTTACTTGATCTGAATTTTTGTCTTTAAGGGAAGGAAGAATCTGCACTACTTCACACTGTCCTTAGAATTTCAGTCTGTTATATATATTTTGTGTATTTGAGTTTTGGGTAATCCTGTTAGTCATAGTGACTAACGTAGTGACGGTTATGAAATTCAGAAGACATACATCAGTAGTGGGCATTTATTAACGTCAGTCTAATACACTATGAATGCATTCATGAAATAACAGTACTGTAATGTGGAAACTGTCTCTGCCAGGTGCTGGCCACCCCATGAAGCCTCACCGTTTGTCTCTGACACACAGTCTGGTGTTGCACTATGGACTCTACAAGAAAATGATGGTGAGCAATAGAAATACATGGTGCTGTAGATTCAGACCCTACTGATGCTTTTCCTGCAGTTGGTAACTCTATACTATGATTAAGTGTATAAACTCTTTTAATTTTTTTTTCCTTGTCAGGTGTTCAAGCCATACAAAGCATCTCAGCATGACATGTGTCGGTTCCACTCTGAAGACTACATAGACTTCCTGCAGAAGGTCAGCCCCAACAACATGCAGGGCTTCACAAAGAGCCTCAACACATTTAATGTGGGAGATGACTGGTGAGTGTTACTGTTTATCAAAGAAATAGTTTGATGTTTTTGCCTAAAAATGTGAAATATTTATGACATGGTTTCATAGTTATTATCAGACTCAGGGTGTCTCATTTCCTCTGTCTGAGGATATTTACTTTATTTAAGCCAAGTCATTGGTCTTATTACTCCTCTGTCTTAGTGCCATTTAACAGTGTATGTGCATGAATTCTCCATCTAAAAGCCCAGTTTACTGTCACTGTTGTTAGAGGACTGACTAAACCTTTAAGAAAATATTTTGTGTCTCTGTTTCAGCCCTGTGTTTCCAGGTCTTTTTGAGTTCTGTTCAAGATACACAGGAGCCTCTTTACAGGGGGCTACACAGCTCAACCACAAGGTAACACATTCCGTACAACACAAATGAAGTCAGTTCTGCTGCAGTGAAAATCAACAGTCTGTGCAATTTAAGCAGGTCCTCTCTCACAAGCACTGATTTAGTGGAGTTTTGTTATTATTTCAGTTGCAGCCATCTCAACTTCCTGTCCAGCAGTGAATCTGCTGTGAAGCAGCTGGTAGTTAAAGATAAACATGTGTGTAGCAGATGATATCTAAATCACTGGTCATCTTACCCTCAGACATTGTGAACACTTCCTTGTTGGACTGAAACAGCAACAACATGGCTGCAGTCATGGGAGACTGGTTAGGAGTACAATTATGGGGATTTTGTGACCTGCAATTGATGATGATTCTGCTCTGTCTTTTCCAGATCTGTGACATTGCCATCAACTGGGCGGGAGGTTTGCATCATGCCAAAAAATTTGAGGTTAGAACGAAGTCTTATAAATTAGTGTCAGTTTTCTCTGCCATCTCTTTATTTTTAGCTGTGAGTTTCTCTTTGAATATTAAAAGACGAGTTTCCTGTGTTTGCAGGCGTCTGGGTTTTGCTACGTCAATGACATCGTCATCAGTATACTGGAGCTGCTCAAGTAAGAACACATTTCTCCTTTTTTCCATCTCCATTTATGGTTCCTGCTGGTTGCGGTTCTGTTTTTCTCTTTTCAACTCTCACTCTCTGTGTATTTCTGTGTGTGTGTTACAGATACCACCCTAGGGTACTGTACATTGACATAGACATTCACCATGGTGACGGCGTCCAGGAAGCCTTTTACCTGACCGACCGCGTCATGACTGTGTCTTTCCACAAATATGGGAACTACTTTTTTCCAGGGACAGGTAAGACCTGCTTTAAGCATTGAGCAAAAGTTTTCTTCAGTTAGAGTAAGCACTTGAAAGTCGTGTACTAATGGTTTTCTGTTACTGAAAAAAGACAAGTGTGTATTAATGCAGTTTGTGTTTTCTGTAGGTGACATGTATGAGGTTGGGGCAGAGAGCGGCCGGTACTACTGCCTCAATGTTCCTCTCAGAGACGGCATCGATGACCAGAGTGAGTTCACTTCCTGCAAAAATCACATTATTGAAATGTAATAACACAACACATAAACCTGCGATATTATTGTGTTGACTGCTCTGTCAGTTGGTCAGAGTATGAACTACGACAAACGTGTGTGTGTCCGTGTGTGTTTCAGGCTACAGGCAGCTGTTCCAGCCGGTTATTAAGCAGGTGGTGGATTTCTACCAGCCGACCTGCATCGTTCTACAGGTCAGTCTGTGACTCTGAATCTGATGCAGTCTCATCAGTTTAATTAACATTCGTCACCTCAGCTAATGGATCATTTACTCTGTGTGTGTGACAGAAAATTACACACACTTCAGGTTCAGGATCAGGACCAGATGCAGTAAAACTGTTTTGTAAGGGAGCATATGACACATTTCCATTCTCTTTGCAGTGTGGAGCAGATTCTCTGGGCTGTGACAGACTGGGCTGCTTCAACCTCAGTATACGAGGACATGGGTGAGGACTGTCTTTATCTTATTAACAGCATATGATAGAAACATATTTTCATTCTCTAGATGATATGTGTTGTGTTACATATGTTGTCTACAGTGTATACATCTACCATATGCACATTGTGAGTACATTCCAGTTAGCTCATGTTTACATGGGCGGGGTAATAATGGTAGGTATTTTTTAATCCGTGTGTGTGTATTCATGTGCGTATGCTTTGCTTTGTGTTGCGCAGTGAGTGTGTGGAGTTTGTAAAGAGCTTTAAGATTCCTCTGTTGGTCCTGGGAGGAGGAGGATACACAGTGAGGAACGTGGCTCGCTGCTGGTACGTCTGATACACAGAACCCAGAATGAACTGTGTGACATGAACAACCCATAGGTGCATTTGAGGTCCAGTCAGGACGTAGGCTTTTGCTTTGCTGCTGAAAATAATTCCTCTGCTGTTGTGTTGAAGGACCTATGAGACGTCTCTGTTAGTGGATGAATCCATCAGCGATGAGCTGCCTTACAGCGGTGAGTTGTACCTAACTGTACTAAATATCAAGCTTTCAATTGTCATGATTTTGTATTTATGCCAAACCTCAATGTCTTAATGTGGTGTCTTGTGTAATGTGTTGTCTAACAAAACCAAAATAGCACAATGGCCCCAGTATCAGTGCGTGCTGTTGTTAATGAATTAATGTTGTTAATACATTAGTAGAGATAGAGATACATATTGAGCATTTTCAAACTTTAGCGCCATCTGTTGGAAGTTGTGTAAATGTAGTTATGGGTTAGTTGTTGTTAGTTGATTTGACCTCTTTAAATCTGAGGACATTGTTTTTGATATGATGAATGAGAGGTCAATGGAAATATGTTTTCCTTCCTGGATTTTTTCCATCCTCCTCCTTCCTGCTCCCCCCACCCCAGAGTATTTTGAGTACTTTGCTCCAGACTTCACGCTGCATCCTGACGTCAGCACCAGGATAGAAAACCAGAACTCCAGACAGGTAAAACATCGTCACACTAAAAAGTAGTGCCTGTTTTAATAGTTCGTCTGCAAGACCTGAGAGTTGTACTGACTTGGATTGTTTATATTCAGGCTGCTGTAACACCGCCTGTAAGTCTTTATTGTGGTCCTCCAGGTGTTTATGGTTGATTGATGTTTGTTGTGCCTCCGCTGAGCCGTCTTTATAATCGTGTGTCTGTCGGTGCAGTACTTGGAGCAGATCCGTCAGACGGTGTTTGAGAACTTGAAGATGTTGAACCACGCACCCAGCGTCCAGATCCATGACGTCCCCTCCGACATGCTCAGCTACGAACGCAACGACGAGCCCGACCCTGATGAGCGGGGGGCCGAGGAAAACTACACCAGGTCAGTTCGCCTGCATGGGGCTGAAACGAATGCGAACACCTGCAATAAAATATTTGACTACATTACCATCTTCCTGTACCTAACCGCGTGTCAATAATGTCGACTTCCATAGGCCAGAGGCATCCAATGAGTTTTATGACGGTGACCACGACAACGACAAAGAGAGCGATGTAGAAATTTGACCTATGGGAAAGAGAGAAGTGGAGCTTTTCCTTGCAGCCTCCTGTTTGCATCGGCGGCGCTCTCCAGTCATCACTGCAGATCACAAAAAACACTTTCAGGAAGGACAGAAAAGACCCTCAAGCTCTCCGTTTACTCTCAACTAGTTTCTGTCAATCCACCTTTCCACACTGACGTCATGGCTGCTCCACCACCATACCTCAGTAGTATAGACATGATGTTGGCACCTGAGTCTTGTATATACTGTCAGCCCAAATTACATATATTTTCATAATGCTGGATACTGAAACACATGTATATACAGTATATCAGCTGTGTTACAGGATCAGATGCGCCTTCATGTTCTGAAAACTAACCTTTTCTTTCAAAGTCAAATATGGAAATTTTAGTAATAGCATTTTTTTTTAATGTTTTTCTTTTCCTCCTGTAATCTTGTCCATGTTATCTTAGCACTGAGTTGTATTTAGCTTTTGAAAGAGGAAAATGTTATCTGCAACATTTAAGCATTTCAGTCAGCTGAATTTTTGTTAAAAGCAGCAACAAGTTTGTCCCAAAAAAGAAAATTGAGCATCCGTTCTGTCAACGCCTGGGATTTAATTGCAGTGACAGAACGATGTCTATGTGAAGATGACTGAAACCACAGCCACAGTTATCACCAGGTGTCATGGAGAAGTCGTGAGGAGGTTCTTGATTTATTCCATCTTACAAGACACAGGCTAAAGTGAGAAGCTGTTCAAGGGCGTGCACAGATACATTAGACACACATGAGCCAGTACAGATGTTTAAATGCATGTGCACAGTTTTTAGACAGTCTCAGACGTACAAATGATTCCTGTTGTCGTTTCACTTCACCGCTTTTCTTATTTTACAGTCACTGTGAATCTGACAGAATGTGGCAGTTTTTTTTTCCATTTCCATTTTTTTTTTACCACAGCATTATTCATGTGCCTTACAGCTCTGACATGTCAAACACTGTTGTAGGAGTGGGGCACATTCATGTCAACTTCAACTTTTTTGACACAGATTTGGATTTCTACAAGTGAATATCTGTAACTGAGGGCACCAGCTTGGATCTGATCCAAACAGAGACTCCTCCTCTCCTGTCTTTTCATTCCTTTCTCTTATTACTGTACATACGTATAAATGTATGAACTGTGATTGTGTTCATAATGTAGAAGAGGACAAGACGGTGAAAAGGCTGGTGGTTTGGTAGAGAAACATTTTGTACATGATGAGATGACAGAGTGCAGGTCCTTCACTGTGCAGCTTCACTACGGATGTACATCAGTGGCAGTAGAACAGTTTGAAGCCACATTAGAAACATTTCTACCATCTTCCACCCTTGGTCCTCTTTTAGCCAAAAACAGGTTTTATGTGATTTTTGATATTGTTGTCAGCAACTTTTTGTTTTTAATAAAAAGAACAATTCTAACTACTCATGTGTATTTAATATTAAAGTCATATCTTCGTCAGCCAGTTTTGAACACAGCCACCAGAGGGCGATGCGAGCGCTAATCTGTGCCATCCATACAATAAAATGCATTGGCGCAGTCAAAGTCAGGGTCACATAGACTTTATTCCTCATTCATCCAGTGATATCCAGAACTTACACAACAAACAGTACTTGAGGAGAATACACACAACTACCTGCAGTTTAAAATCTCAACAGAAAGGGCTGAATTTACCAAACTATCCTGGTGCTTTAAGCAAATCCAATGTTTAACCCTGTTTGATCCAAACATCATGACAAACTGTAGGAACACTGTACCTAAAAGCATTAAACCTGAGTAAAAGACAGTTTAAATGTTACTGTATAAACACAACCCGACTACAGGCGTTTATATGGTAACGGGCTGCATGCCAACCAGAAAAAGCAGTTTTCTTCTCCTGTGACCCGGACGGCAGGTTTTTTAAGCCCGTCATGAAAGAAACTCCTGCCACTGAGCTGCGGCCACACAGGGTTAAATACCAGATTTTCAGTTTACATGCAGATCCAGCCAAAATACAAGGTTTTTGTGTGATTACCTCCTGGCTGGCAATAAAAACAAGCAGTTAGGTAAGCAGGCAAATCAAGCCTCTTTTTGAAAGATCTTTCTATCCAAGGCTCTGGTCAGAAATGGAGAGTTTGGCAAATGTGGACACAGGCTGACATAAAGACACCCACTTTTCAACTGAACATTAATGATGCAAACATACATCAAAGGAGAAAAAAAACTGTCTCCTCTTGGGTAAAGTGGAAAACGTTATCTGCACTGCAGATGTGATAAAATGTAAACACTTCTTATTTAGTTTTGAGTGCAGATCTGGTTTTGTGTTCAGTCATAGAAGCTGGTGATCAGAACGGCAGCCTGTTGCTCTTTGTCCAACTCATTGATATTATACACCTCTGGCTGTAGCCTTTCACAGGCCAAGAGAGGGGCAACTTGAAGTCCCAGCACTGACAACTAATAACTTCAGTTCAAATAAATAGCTTCATTCACATACACTGTATATTAGAAACCAACTTTAAAAACACATATAAGGCTGAATTTATACCACAGCAGAGAATCTGAGCAGTGACCAACATCTGAGCTCTCTTTAAACAAACAGGGGGGGGGGGACATTCAGTCACACACTATCAGAGACAAATACTTAAATTCTGCAGCTCAAACATATAAGCATCCTTTTCAACTCCAAACTAAAAGGACAGGAGGGCAGTCACTGGTTGAGACATGTCATGATTAAAGTGCAGTGATAGATGTTGGCTGTTGGATTGTGGGTACTGTAGTTAACCTAGGTTGTTTCCAATTTTCTAACCTAGACCATGGAAGAAAGCTAGACACTGTGTTTCGAGATAATGAACAATGATTCAAATGAAAGGTGCTTACCCAGCACATACACCATGACAATCCAATGCAGGAAGTAGAAAATTGCGTGCTGTTTGAGACAGACACATCAGTTTTCTGTTGGCCAAATGGTTTCTGGACCACAGCGGTTCAGTGTTGCAGTATTGTGGTTGGCCGCTGGGATAAAACTGACTCCACCACATGGTACCTAGGTCTATTAATACATCCATGACCTAGACCGTTTTGCTGAGAGAAGACAGGACAGGCAGATGAAGAGACAGAGACAGGCGGGCAGAGTAGAGCACAGAGGCTTACAGGCATGTATCAAACATGAGCCTTAACAACAAAGAGACAGACAGAGAGACAGAGGGGTGGGCGCCATGGAAACAAACAGCAGCAGATGGACGATATGAAGAGTGATTACAGTAACTCAGAAGGCACTTGACCACACAGCTTTGGAAACTTTTCTCTCAAAGTAACTCCCGAGTGTTCTTGAAGGTTAGGGATGGTTTAAAACAATCTTTAAAGGGCCAATTCATGATATGACTAAACCTCTGAAAGATAGAGGAAGGTTTGTTTTGAGCCTTTTAACAAGACGAAGATAAACTTTTTATAATAATAGAGATAAATCCTCTAATATTGCATCACAGTTACTGTCTTTTTACAGATGTTCACAGATGTATCTTAGTCTTGAAAATGTGGCTACGCTCATCTGCCTTGCACATCAACCATAGTCTCTTATGCTTATTAATTATACTTATTCAACCTGATCTGGATTGGCCTCCATAGTACTCTGAGATGCGTACTCATCTGCTGCGATGCTGTTAATGTGATACTCTGAACCAAAGCATGTTTAGAGCTCTTTCTGCCTGGAGTTGATACAGACTCTGGCCCAGTTTCATGGTAGTGAAGATGATGGTTGAAGGAGGATGTGACAGCGTGGTCTACAGCTCTTCACTCTCGTACAGCGGGGCAGTGTGCTGGGCGGGGCTCTCCACGGTCAGAGCGGGCACATGGCTCAGAGACGACAGCAGCTTCAGTGTCTTGGAGCCAGGGGGCGCCGTTTTCATGGGTGGGGCTGTGCGGGCTGGGAGGGGCACAGAGAGGGGAGTAGTGGGTACAATTGTTCCTTTGCAAATTAATTACAGTAAAGAGCAAGATTTTTGTTTGTTATGCTGCTTTTTTGTGAGTAAAACACCAATGACTGGATTAGATAACGGTAACAAACACACGCATGATTATTTACAGCAGTATTTACCTACTTGTCAGTAATTTCTGAGATGTTTGATAAAAGATTATTGCATTTAAAACACCTTTTTTTAAAAAAAAAAAAAAGATTTTGTTATACATCCTGATGTTTTAAATAATGGCCGTAAATAATCTGAAGGATACCACAACAGTAAATCATGTACAAGTGATTTTGTCACATTACATCCACTTGAAATTGTGTTTATACTGAAGCTGCAGTACTTAGTCATCTCTTCCAGCAGGGGAGAAAAACTGGTTTTCAGTCCACTTTTTGCAGACTGGCACATTCCCTGTTTATTTATATAAATATTATAAGTGACAGTACTGGTGCCACCAGCATCAGCGACAAATTTTACTGGCGGTTGGACTCATGCTAAACATTCTTTTCATGCCAGGTGTCTGAAAATAACTCATCTGTCCTGCAGGCCACGGCACAGGAGACAGCATGGCTAAGTGCCAGATATATAACCAACACACAGTTGTAGGAACAATGGCTGCACAGTTCTCCATGTTTCACCTTCTTTCTTTAAACAAACAAAACTATGAATTAGTTTCATTCATCACAGACCTGACTGGCTCCAACAGAATTCATTTAACCAGTGGTGCGGTTTGACTGTGAGTATTTAAAATGATGTATGTGTGTGTCTGTTCTTACATTGATTAATTTCAACACTACTATCACTACTTTTTATATACCACTAAGACTCAAATACACAATACAATACACAACCTACACATCAAACAGTACAAACCAGGGCTGGATTTTTACAATGAAGAGCTCCACCAAAGCAGATCTGTAAATGCTCTGCATTATAAGATCTATTGAAAGTAATCTCTCCACTAAACATATAAACCTTGGGATGAGTAGTTATATCAAGGTTTCTGTTCTAAAGTTACTGGGAAATTGATATTAAATGTACAGAAATTTAGACCAGTTTCCAAAGCAGATATATGAAATTATATAATATATATGCAGCGAGATGTACTGTTTAAAAAAGGTGACACAAAATCCAAAACAAAATCATAAAGATTGACTACTGTATTTACAATTTCATTATACATTTCCCAACATCATTATCAAAACACACACTTCATATAAACTTGTATGAGTCAGAATGACTAATAATAGTGATGTTTACTGAATGTATAATGCCTTCATTCACACTTGTCTGGTTGACCTTGTATTCCCAAATACACACACACCAATAACGTGAACTTAACTATGCTCATGCATGTTGAATTATCTGGCTGCAAACTCCATTGATGTTTGTTGGAGGTTCACTAAAAATAGTGAACCTCCAACAAACATCAATGGAGTTTGTGCTAAATAAGTTAGAGACTTGATATGTACACTGTGAGCCAACCACTCCTGAAAAACCTCTTCCTTGTGAGGTCCTGTTCAACCATAGTATTGTATTGTATTGGGTCTTGGTTCACATGAAGCAAGTAAACTCACTTTCAGGGTTACTAATCAGCTGAGCAGTCCAGCTCAAGCGTAACAGAGGGTCGGGCCTTTGTCGGTGCTCTCACTCAGCGGCCTCTCCACACAGCAGATGGTGTGTTATGTGATCGAGCAGAAACCTAATAGCTGTGTTGTATTTTCCTCCAGTGAGCGCTCCCTCACCAGTGGATGGACTCCATACTTATCGCTCTGACTCGGTCATTACGCAGTATTCTTTAGGTAAGCTGAACAGGTCGATGCCTCATGTTCTCATCAAGTTTCCGCTTGATCACGTAACACAGCATTTGTTTGACGTGTTTCAGGCTGTGGAGCTGGATTCAGTGCAGTGATGAGCGCACAACATTCTCCATCTGCTGTTTGAGTTTACAGCCTGGGTTACTGTGGTAACTATCAGGCTATCTCATACAAGAGATAGCCGAGATGGGCCCTTAAAGCTCATTTGCATGGACAGATGAACAGACAGTGGACTTACTGCCTATATCCAGCCTGGCATTGCATGTGGACATGCCAGCTTCATTAATGGCAGAGAGAGTGTACCAACCAGCATCAGACTTCATCACCCTCTCTATCAACAAGCACTGCCGGCCTGAACCGTCCTGGTACAGACTGTGAAACACAGAGACAGGTTCCAGTGTTAATTTTATCACCACGTTCACACACGATGCTCAGTGTCCTGATACAGGCGAAAACAGAACTAAAGCACGTACACAATTTATGGCATTCATTCACTAAGAAATGAAATGGCGAATCATGAGGACTGCTACTTCTACACCTGTGAAAAACTGTATCAGGTGTTCTAAAGGAGATTTATAGTCGACATCACAAATTCATAACAGGAAGCCTGAGTTACAAAATGGAGGTGTGGGTTTTTGAGCCTGGGCTGGGAAGGCTAATAAGATGCTGCTGAATTGCATTTGCAGAAATGTAGGTAACTAAAAGTCAGAATATCTCTGCCCCTGCTTACCATTCTGTCTTTTGTGAATCCCCCAGATTTATAAAAGAGAAATACTGAATCACTGATGTAACCCTAACCCTTAATATATTCATTTTGTTTATTGTGCATAATGTAAGTGGAAACTTCACCCATGCGCAGTTTATAATGACTGTAGAGTCAAGTTTTCTATTAAAAAAAAAAAAAACCTACTGAGGGATGATTTACCATTTTTCTGTAATTTCACATGACATATTTACCAGACGTTTTGGAGTAATGAAGCTGACCCACCTCATTCTGTTGGGGTCAATGCGCAGCATGTCTTTGTCTTTCTTCCAGAAAAGCTGAGGAGGAGGGGAAGCGTCCACTTTACACTCTAACCTAACAGTGTCTCCTTCTAGAGCTCTGGAGTTCAACATCTTCTGGACAAAGGTGGGAGGACGGAGAACCTCCTGGGCTGCAAGAGCAGAAGAGGTTGACTGAATTGAATTGTACACCATCCTCACAACTTCACAAAGTACTGCAGGTATAAATTCAGTTCAATCAATAACATTATTGAGCTGCACCAGGCTAAAATTCTACATAAAGACACAGTATTTCCAGCATAAAATCAAGATTCAAGTGATTCTATTTTTACCTATGACATCGAGCCTCATGGAAAATCTGCTCTCTCCGGCTCGGTTCCTGGCCACACACTCATACACACCAGCATGGTGCACAGTGACAATCTCTATGATGAACGAGTGCATCCCTTTCTCACACACCAACATCTTATGGTAGTCGTCTGGACGAATGGCTTTGCCGTCCAGGTACCAGCAGACGTCTGGTGTGGGGAGGCCTCCCACCTGAAGAGAGAAGAGAGGATTTTATGCCTCCTTTATTTACCTTTGCATGACCACACCATTACAGCACAGATTATTTTGTATACGTTACATAAGGAAGCCCGTGACCTTCTGGCAATACAGACTTGAGTTTCTTAATAAACTTGAAACCATGAAGACCTTGGTGTTAATGCATGCAGGTGTGTGTGAGTGACTAATTCACCTTGAAGTCAATCCTACAGAAGCGTCCCTCCTCCACAGTGAGGTCTGGGGGGATCTGCAGGAAGCGAGGAGCGTAACATTTCTCCTGGATAGCTGATCCCTCATTGCCCCTCTCATCTGTCCCTGAGTGGTGCCTCCCCCTGTAAGAGAGAGAGATTATCTATTCATAACTGTGCTTTACCTCACTTTCAACAACTGAATTTTACTGTCCACTAGCAGCCATATAACCACAGATTCCTGTTGTGTTTCTGTCCTCTGACTGCATGGCTACTGCATAAGGGGCACGAGTCCCTATATCTTTCCTGACAGGCAGGTGGAGTCAGTCAATGTTTATGTAGAGATTCAGTTAACACAAGATATACATAGGGATGGACAAATACTTTCCTGGAAAATTTAAATCCGTATGTTTACCCTCTCCCTCAATTCCCAAGTTCAGGTGGTGGCAAAATTTCACTTTTAGCAATTAACACAATTAGTGGTTTCACCACTTTCAACCAAACTTAATTCCACAGAAAATACTAACAAATACTTATAATTAAATAACTGAAGAGGGAGTACGAACCTATCTCGGCCCATTGGAAGATACTTTAAGTTGATTTAAGAAAAATTAGATATTTCCATGGATGCTTCTGTAATGTAAGATGCACAGTATTATGCATGATTGCACAGAGCAGCTTGAGGGTCAGCTGCACCAAATGGTCAAAAATTAAAAGTGTCAAATGTTCATGAGCTATTCTTAAAAGGCCAATATAGCTTTACAGCTGCGTAGATTGACTGAATACTGCCATGCTGGACGTCCCACGTTCAAGACTGTAATGTTCAATTGAAACTTAGGTAAATAATTATGAGAAATATTGATACATAAATTGTATTTACCATAGGCCACCCGTGTGTCTTCCTTCTGGTGAATCTGGCTGTAATAGAAAACAAGACGAGCAGAGGAAACACAGGTTTGAACTCTGAAAACTAACCATACTGCTCAACAGGTTGACAGAATTCAAGGAGGGTGACTCTGTGTGTGTGTGTGTGTGTGTGTGTGTGTGTGTGTGTGTGTGTTCTGACACAATACTCCTGTTGTCACCAGTGAAAGGGGCTCATTCTCAGAAAGCAGGCTAGAAATAGCTGCTGACAAACCTTGTTGGCTTGAGAGGACATGTGTGTATGAGTGTGTATATACACATGTTGTGTGTTGATGTTGTGTGTTGGAGTGTGACAGACAGAAAGAATAGATGGTGCAAAGCCCTGCGACAGAGGCTTTTTGACAGAACAATCCCACACACACACACACACACACACACACACACACACACACACACACACACACACACACACACACACACACACACACACACACACACACACAGAACTGTTCACAATGACAGCAGGAGACAGCTCACTGGGGCTGCTGATTTTTACTGCCAGGCTTTTTCAACTGTGGGTCGAGAGCCCATCAGGAGGCCCTGAGAGGGAAACGGGCTCCCTGTGCACCCATTCAAACCCAAATGACTGTAATAATGTGTAGGCTTTACTTAATAGCAAAATGAAAGCTAATGGGTTTTGGGCAAGAGCCAACATAAATGTCTGTAGAGCACGGTCAGCACTGCAGCACACATCAGTAAAATCTGAAACACATTGTTAGAAATGTGCAGGTTGAATGATGTCCGCTGACAAAATGAAACTTTGATGTCGTACCTGGTCGAGTTGTGAGTCTGACAGACTGTCTTGGTCAAACATGTAGGTGACGTTGTCTGGACCCAGCAGCCTACGAGCCATACGCTCCTCATAGGACAGTTTCTGTCAAAAATGAAGCTTTATACTGTTAAATTTTCAGTTTTCACACACATATGAGAAGAAAGTGTGCTGTGATGTGTTTTGGTAAATTACTGCAATTATGTATTCTGTAATGTTTGAGGGTGTTTGTATTTATGAAATGTAGGATTGTTCCACTTTCAACACAGTTTGCAGGACACACACACACACACACATATACACACACACATATACACACATACATATATACACATACACACACACACACACACACACACACCTGGCTGTTTCTCCTCCTGGCCTCCTTTGAGCGCAACTTCTTCTCCAGATCCTGGATGAGGGCGTCTTTGGAGCCCTGGATGTCTTCATCTGTGGAACGAGAAGAGGAAGGCCGAGGAGCTACAGTCTTCTTCAGGATGGGCTTGGGAAGGCTGGAGAGAGGTAAATGAGGAACAGACGATAAATGATAAAGAAAGCACCAGAAGGACCCTAATGAACAAAACCTTTATTCAGCACTTCAACACTATGACCTACCATATGAACTGTTTTTCTTTTTTTTTTTTTTTACTTAATTTGTTAAAGAAAACACATATGCATGGAAATGATTCTTCACTCATGCTATGAAATGCATTCAGTGTGGAGACTGCAATGAGTGATTTCTATTCTTGCTTCGTGCTTTGACATAATAGAGATCCCACCATGGATGTGATGGAAAATACAATGGATTGTCAAGAAACTTGTGAAACTGACTCAAAGTCACTTCTATGATTTTATCATTTCTGGTCTGTTAATGTGATTTTTCAACCCAGAAAGAAACAAGAAACTTTTAATGGGTGAAGAGTCTGGTTTTTAATTGTAACCTAGCCGGTATGCCGTGGAAAAAACAGCTGAAAACATCTACAACAACTTTTAAAAATAAACAATTTTCTTTTGAAGGTTCATTTTAATCATCCAGGTTGTATGAAGTCTATACAAAGTTGATTTAAATCACTGGATTACAGTTTGGATTTTAGACATTTTCCCCATTAATCCAAATGGAATCTTCTCAAACGGGGAGTAATATTGGACCCTAATGTTAAATAATTGCTAACGATAAACAAGTAATGACTGACCTGCCTTTTCTGCAGCTATACATTCACAGTCTCTTCACACCTCCTGGAAATCAGCTGTTCTCTCTGTATATTTACATTTTGCTCCAAAAATGACTGTTTTTTGTTTGTTTTTTAGATGTTGTCAAGTGTGGGACATTTCAACTTGTTTGTTAATATGTGCATGCCAAATTGATGTGCACTGTGACTCACGTGTTAGGCGTCCCCTTGTAGCTGGCCGGCAGGGAGACCACAGCAGGTGGTACTCTGTTCTGACTGTTAGGAGTGCTGGGCTGTTGGAGAGAGGAGGAGGAGGAGGTGGGAGAGAGAGGGGAAGGGGACACTGGGAGAGGCTGCTGGGGGAAAGAGGAAGGAGAGGAGGAGGCCCTCATGGGGAGCAGAGGGCTGGAGGGGGAAAGTGGGGAACAGGAGGGGGAGATGGAGGGGTGAGGAAGGTTGGCGTTGGGAGACAGTTTGGATGGGGAGAAAGGGGAGAAGGAGGACTGGGATGGCAGCACAGAGCAGAGGTAAGCGGCAGGTGCTGACATGGTGTCCTGGTTGGCCGGCAGGGTGGCACTGCCGAGGCCAGTGGCACTGGGGACACTGGGGGTGAGGGTGATGGTGGAACGCATGGTGGTGCGTGGGAGAGAGGATGAGGAGGAGGAGGAGGCTGGGAAAGGGGAGGATGGGGAAGTGGTGGCAGAGGGACTGAGCAGAGGGGCAGTGGAGGAAAGAGGAGGCACAACAGAGGAGGCCGGGGTGGAAATGGGAGAGCTGAGACTGGAGGAGGAGGGAGAGGACTTGCCCGTTCCATTGGCATGGGTCTGAATGTGTGTCTGGGCAGTAGACTGGGTTTGGTTCTGACTGAGGTTTAGAGACTGAAACTGTGACTGGGTCTGTGACAAGGACTTTGACACTGACTGAGATTGAGAAGTTGACTGACTTTGAGCAGACATGATTTTAGCTTGACCCTGTGTGTCTGTAACATTGAGACTATACTGGGAACTGTTGAGGTTCTGTTGGGAGTTATTCTGGTTCTCCTGAGCCTCCCTCAGCACACTTTCATAGCTGGGTGCCTGGAAGGCCGGCTGCGACTGAATAAAATGCCGCGGTCGCTCGTAGTTGAAGGCACTGGGAGGGAAGGCACTGGGCGTGAAGGATGGCAGGTCCGAGAGGTTCATGTTGTTGCCTCCTGACTGGGGGGACTGGAAGGGAGAAGACACACATTCACAAAAACTTAGGTGTAATGAAGAAGAGACATTCAGAAACGTTAACACATTTCCATTCGCTGGGGGGAAGCAAATCAACATTGTCTCAAATAACCAATGTTACTACATTAGACAACACATCAAAAGAATATTCAAGGCAGAGTTACAAGGGTCAGTGTTGGGGAAGTTTTTTGTTCTTGCCAATTAAATTCAGTTTTATTTCCTGCTGCTCAAATGTAAAAAAAAAAGTCAGGCATTGAAATATTCTAATGAAAACTCTAATGGCTGTACCTTCAATAGACAACTAAGTATAGGCAAGAGAGGATAAACGAGACAGATACTGTCTATTTATTTACTTATTTATCAACTGGTGTTGTGTGCTTTTAAATTCTGTGTGAATTTTAATTTGCCAATTCTATTTGACTTTTTGAACTTGACATAATAATTCACATAAAACCGTAGTTAAGTATGATGGCAGCAATTAACAAAAATAGCAAAAAACCTCTCAGACAGTGCAAAAGTGTAAGACATGTCTTACAGTGAAACTGATTTTGCTTGGGGTGAACAGCTTGGGCGTTGGGGCTTTCTCCTTGACTTGTGCTGGTGGTGGTGGTGAGGGTGGAGGGGGTGGAGGGCTGGGCGTACAGGCTCGGACCACGACCTCTGGTGACCTTTGGCCCTCTGAGCTCAAGGCAGTCTCCTCCTCACTGCGACCGAAGGCTCCTTCAGAGGAGTGGTTGGCAGGTTGAGGCTCTGGAAAACTGAAGATGCGCACAGTCATATTAGCAAAGATTTGACTGTATTCAGAAAAACTACAGGTTCTGGGATGGTACGTGATCAAACATAAGATGGAGACTGATGGTTGAGGTGCAGAAACAACTGTCATGAAAATCACCCACAGACTCCCAAAAGCAAAGGTAGATTTTATCCCTGACAATCCCCCGATGCCCAAGCAGTTAAAATGTTACCAATATTCAAAGCGCCTCAGATGCAAATTAATCCTTGATGACATATTCAAAGTATCTGTTGTTCAATTACATAACTGTCCTTGACTCATAAACACTCATTTTAAACTCCAAATAAAGGCACAAACATCATTGTTCTAAAAGTATTTTTGTGATGACACCTGATTAATTATTAAAACCCAGCCAAAATTGAAATTTTGTCCACAAAAATATCAAAGTCAAAAGGTTAAACTGTTGGCCAAACAGCTGTTCCAAAATTCCAGTTGGGACACCTGAACGACAGTCGTCCCATTTCATTTGTTTTGAAGGTTGACAAGAGGCTGCACAAGCTAACACTCATCCAGTGCTGATTCTGCACAGGCTGATGTTTATAATGTTGGTCACCGCATCATGATATTGTTTCAGTGGACAACTTGAATGGCACAGATTTTTACCATCAATATCAATATGACGACTGGTGAACAAAATTATAAATATGCGTAACTAGTAACTACAGATTATATGTTCCAGTCCGGCTGCCATGGTACCAGTGGGACTGTTTAATGAGGGTAACAGATCCCATTTCAGCCCACTCAGTAATTTTCTTCCTGTAATACCAAGCCTGGCTGGTCCTCTACTTTTCTACTAGGAAAGAATTTTGTTCCCATGACAACCACGTAGTCCGGGCTATGCAAGGAGTATAATGACAATAGCAGTCTCTCTCTTCGCTCTCTCTCTCTCTCTCACACACACACTCACTTACTTACATACTAGCTCACTGTTTTTCTGCATTTCAGGGCACAAAGTAATTTTGGCCAACCAGCATCAGATGACCTACGCTCTGAAACTTTGGATCAAAACCATCCAAGTGAATGCAAAAGTGGTCTCAGACTTTTGGACCCTACTGTGTATGTAAATCTTGAGAATTTTCTAATTTTGTACAAGGATGAACTGTACAACTTGTTGCAAGAGTCAGACGTATGACCACTGACTTAGTCACTTACACTGATCATATTGCTGTAACGCCACCAAGGTGAAATACAATCTAAAGGATCTCTCACAGCTGATATATGCATGTCTAAATGAATTCGACCACCATACCAAGGCTATGGGATATCAAAAACCAAATGAACTTCATGGGTCATTCAATTATGTAATGTAATTTCGTGAAGTGGTAAATAAAACTGTTTCTAAATGACAGATAATTTGTGTAGGTGGAAATGGTCCTCATGGATGGATGCATGTTTGACCAAGGCATCCAGAAAAAAAAAAAAGGTTTTGATTCTATACCTCACAGTTAGTTAGTTAGTTAGTTTGTCATCTCATGTGTGAGTTTGAGACAGTACCATCAGCGGTTGGCTTCAAAAGTAATAAGCTAAATGTCATGTTTTTTATGAGTGGAGTCATGGCGCTGCTATCTACATCAACTGGTTCTTCCTTGGTCCATGGCCTAACTTTCCACCACATTTCACTGAAGTTTGTTAAGTAAGTTTTCTCACTAAGCTCAAAGACAAACAGAAATCAAAACCTCCTTGGAGGATGGAACATACAATCTGACCTCCACTGGATATTAAGGGTTTAAAAAATCTAATAATGATATACTGATTTGGTTGTATTCTGTGACCAGTTGAAAACTTATCAGTGATCGTTGGTAGACATACCATCTTACTTATCTGCAATAAGCTAAAACTGGCTGGCTCTGACGCTGATATCCTGACTTGGCAAATCAGTAAAAAGCACAGGTGGAGATAATAACATTAACGTTGGGTCCAGTGAACTGTCCCAGGAAGCTGTGGCAGTGAGACAGCATGCACAATATGCACGCTGCAGGGACTAATGTTACTAACTAAAAGCCAATATGAGTAAATCTAACACACACAGAGCAACGTGGTGAACCTGAGAGCTCATGTCAACATTTTAGCAGCTTCTCCACTGCTTTACTTGTTAATTCTTAAAGGGTCATCAGTGACTCTTAGAATTCAAAACAGTAACACTATTTTCACCAAAACTCACTCCTGAATGTCACATGTGCTGTAGTTGCTGTGCTTTAAATGCTGCTATGTGAAAGCAATGTGTGTGTTTGTGTGATTTAGCGATGGCATGTGTGAGTTTCCCTGTGCATATGTGTATTTGTGTTTGTGTGATTAAGTGGGCAAAGCTATATTGGTCTTGGAATTCGGACATCAGCTGGCAGGTGCAGACACTCTACTGGTGACCCAACCCTTTTAACACGCACACAGACAATCTGCATGGCATTGTGGGTAGGAGCACGCTAAGCTGCAAGTCCTCTGTATGACCGATGACAACAGACAGGACAACAATAACTAGTAAACATTTGGAAAATAAAAGCCTCAGCCCACCAAGTTGGAACAGCCTTCATTCTAAAATATTTCAACACTACAGTGAGATGAAGCATTCATAGTGGGTAGAAAGGGATGTAACACATCATTTTCATTGTGAGAGGGAATGTGGATGAGCATCATTTTTTTCATTTATTCCTTCATTTGTCCATGTACATGTCTACCTAATGTACAGGGACAAAACTGAATACATTCTAATGAAAGTTGGGGAAATTAAGCATCTCATCACTGTGTTAGACCCTCTCAGAACTGATCAACCTAACAACTAATACAAATGGATTATACCTTCAACTCAGCCTAAATTTGTGCCATGACTTGATCAATCACTTCATTGCTCTCCATTAACATGTCATATCTTAATAGTTTTGTGTTCAACAGTTCAATAATTTTCAACACTGAACCATATTTTGGTGAAAGCCAGTCAGTGCTAGATGGAAGCCACTAAAGTAACCTCTTGGGTAAAAAGGGAATTATTATAAGCTGATGAGGAACACTGAGTTTAAACCAAAAAGCACAAAAAACAACACTTCTTAACAGAATCACTTTTAGATGTGACAACAGTCAAACATGTCCTTCACAATGTCTAAAAGAAAACCACACAGTATTTTGATAGTTGACAGTACTCTTATCAGCCATAATAACTACACTGTGTCATAATTTATCTGAGATTGTCACATTTATTAAGGGGAAAAAGTCCAGTCCAACAGAAGCACCACATGTAATGTGGTTAACATCGGGTAATCAAGTTTCTGTCCCTCACCAAATAATCAAAATAATAAAATAATCAGATAAACTTCAAGTTGGTCAGAGAACCTCAACATGACCTTAAAAGCCAGACCGCTGCCAATGGTTTCAGAACAACTGTTGTTGTGTGCAGCACTGAGGAAGGGGAGGTTCTGAAGGACACAGACGCCATGTCTGCACTTCACATTACAGATGAGATCATAGTCCTGGACACTGATATAGAGTGGACACAGTACACTCAGCCAGACATATTTCACACCATGAAGCACTGACTGGGTTTGAACCATAGTATCAAGTCAAAGTTAAAGGCACGAACAGTATCAAACACCAAAGATACTTTCTGCTCACCGGCTCTCTCTCAACTGTGGCATTTATCATCTGCGGCGATATTAAGACACCTTTCATGGTATACTTGTGAATGTCTAATCCAGTATTTGTCACATATTGAGAATGTATTGCTGGTGCAATATCCAAAACTGCAAAACAGCATTGTATACACAAGCTTGCATCTGATTAGAGATGCCAGTCTTCCATTCTACATGGCTGCATGTGAATGCATCATTCTTGTAAGACTTGAAAATCAGTCACGTCAAACTCCTCACACAATTTTCCCCCACATACAAAAACCAAAAATGTGTTGTGCAAATCAATTTTGGAGCATCAAAAATGTATCATTAGGAAACACAGCTAAAAGCTGCCAAACATTTCAGAAAACAAATGACAGTATCTTATTTTCTACAATATGAGCTCTTCTGTATGACTGTTTGTAAAGGGTGAAAAATGAAGGACACACATTACAACTTTACAGATGAGCTCATATCCCCATTCAAGACACCAATTAGCTCAAGTGTGTGCTGTCTGGCACGCAGCAAACCCAACTCAATGACAATTAAGACACATATTTCTGGTGATTCCCAAAGTGGATCTTTGGAGCAGCTCCAGAGGATCCCCACAATAGTAAGGGATAGGTTAATATCTTATGTCAGTTCAGTTTAGGTAAATAAAAAAAATTAAAGGAAAAGTGAAAAAGGAAAAACATAGTAAGAAAAGTATTATTTGGGGGTCTTCAGCTACACATTTGCGATCCTTAAATGACGACAGGGAGTTGAAAAAATTATACAGCAAATTTGTCATGCGAAATTTAAATCAGTAGTCGAGATTTTTCACTGGAATTTTTGAGAAAACGAGGAATAACGTCTTTAAAAAAACTAACGGCTATCCCCGCAGTCTGTGTGAAACAGTACCAACCAGATGACACAACCCCCCAAAATAGACTAAAGTCCACTTTGCAAGTGCTCCAAACATAGTTTGACCTTTTACGGAGGATATAGCATATTAAGTTTCCATGATATAAACAAAGAAGGAAAACTAGCCTGTTTAACATTAACGTCAATGTAGCAAAACGTTATAGAGGTTAAAAAACTGTGAATTCAAGTATCGAAAGTAACACGCAGGTTGAGAGGAAAGTAACTGCCACCTGTACAGACACGAACAATACTTTCTTACCTCGTTACACGTTTCAACACCGCTGGCCTAACACTTGAGTTTTGGCTGAATGAAGCTGGACGTTCCCTGTAGAGAGGGGGATCCAGACTCCGATGAGACGCCAGAGGCTGGAGTGCAACAGGTGACACCGCGCGCTCACAAGGAGAACGCGAGGTGACGTGACCGCGCACGCCCAGCTGATAAGTTTAATTTACTGAAAGCTCAGCATCGTCAATATAACCACATCTACAGTATCCAGAGCTGCTCTCTGATCCGATGACTCATGTTTTTATTATGTATTATTTTCATTCATTAAAAGTATTTTTTTTTTTTTACGCCAATTAGCATTTAAAACCCTTCTCTGAAACAGTTTCTATATTTCTCATTAATAGGCCTAGTTAAAATAGTTTCCTAAACATAATTATCAGGTTCTTGTTTTGTCGCATTAGGTAAGTCTAAAGAAAGAAAGAAAGAAAGAAAGAAAGAAAGAAAGAAAGAAAGAAAGAAAGAAAGAAAGAATTGGCTTGTTTTACAACTATTTGAACAATACAACAGCGACCCCTTCTGGATGTAAGGGGGAACTACAATGATCTAAAGCGACTTAATTTCTTTGAAATGTTTGACTTCTGAACAATTTACTAAAAAGAAATGCCCACCAGATTGTAATAATAAAAATGACTAAATGAGACGTTCCAGGAGGCAGTGACAAATGAGTTACTGAGTAAATGAATGAATGAACGGTTAAATACATTATAAGCCTCTTCCATAAACCAACATCATAAACTGTGTTCAATACACACTCAATACAAGTGAATCAAGACTTGCATTAAGAACAACACTACAAGTTGTAGAACTCAACTGTGTTGTACCTTACCAAAAATAATAAGGTCAAGGGTCAAAGGTTATTCCCACATGTGAGAAATGTGCAAGAAAAAATGAAGGAGTGAGATTTTTATTCATTTGTTGTTTGTTTGTTTGTTTTACTTCAAAAAAAGACAATTTTATAGCAGGTAGGAGTACTATAATGCTCACTATCAAAAACAACAAATGGCACCATAAAACAAGCATCATCATCATCATCATCATCATCATCATCACTGCTTTAAAATAATGGTGTGTGCCTCGTGTGTGCCTAAACACTGAGGTTACTATTATGTAATGTTTACAGATACTGAGATTGACGTATACGTGTTTGTGCCATCATGTACTCACTCTGCAACAGGGATGTCATCTTCCAGAGGGCTGTCAGGCCAGTCGGGAGGGGGGAGGTTCATAGAGTCAGGCAGCAGAGGGGGAAAGTCCCCGCTGCTTTTTCTGGAGGAGGACATCTCCTGCTGAAACACTGCCTCATCTTCCTGTTTGAGAGAAACTGTTTCCTGCTGATGAATGGCCTCGATCTCCAGCTGCTCCTCCAGGTCTGAATGGAGAGGTGCACAGTATGAGATGAGAGACTTCTAAAACCAAGACTCATTATTTTCATTGTACTGTACAATGCAGCTCCACAGGTGTAATAGTTAATCAGACATCTCACCGTTGTAAACTTCCAGAATGGCTGAGCAGGAGACTGTGCCGAAGGGGTTGAGGGCCACACATTTGAACAGGCCCGAGTCTTCTGGAAATGCCTCAGTGATCACCAGTGTACACAGCTCCTCTGCAGAAGTCAACACAAGAACATTAACACAAAACACACTGAGTAGAATTGAGTCCTCACCCCCACTGACTGGATGTCTGGATAAATGTTTGCCTCTGCTGTCAGAGAGGCTTTGCTGCCCACAAGAGAAAAATACAAATAGTCTCTTAATATCAGTGTGAAAACACTAAGTGAACAAGGGTGTATCAGATGAACAAATGTTTATTTTGTCCCTTATTCCTTGAAACACCTCACCAACAAGCTGTCACAAAATCTTACATATTCAAGAGGTGTCCCTCTTGCTTCCACATGGAGTCGCTAGTGTGCTAACTTTCAGAGCTCTTATTAATGTTAATATATTCAACTGCAAAATCATGTATTTATTTACACCAGTGGGCCAAGTCCTCTTTGGCTTCTGACCCCTTGAATCATCACAAGTTATGACCTTAGTGTAGACATAGATTGTGAGCAGTGATTTTTCTTTCTAAGACTTCTCTCAGAATTTTTAAAGGCGTGACAGGGTGATTGCATTTCACAACAACAAAAACTAAATACAATCAAAAATTAGAGACAAGTAAGAAAGAGGTTTTATTGTAACAGACCTTTTTCTTTCTTAATTTAATCATTTTGTGACTCCTCAGATTTATCTTGAGACCAAGACATTGAGAAGTACTTCTTTAAAACCTATGATGTATGAAACCAATATTCTGTACTTACCTGGCACTGATGCAGAACTGGCCTCTGGGAAAAGAAAGAGAGAGATATACTGTAAATCCAAACTGAGACAAGAAATTATAGTGTGTATTATTATTTTTATTTACTAACAGTAAAGATCCTAATTTTCTTGGATTATATTCTTCAATTGAAGCTTCAGGATGGTGTTTCAGGTCATAAATTCCACTTTCACATTATCATCATAACAGTCATTGCTGTGTTGCAAGACTTGATTTTGTTTCGCTTCACTGTAACCTCACGTCCAAGTCATTTGTTCGCCCACTGCCAAACACACACTTACTCTTGCGTAGTATCCTAAAGTCATCTGAATCCAGTATTTTTTCATCCTCTCTGTACCACATGACCTGCAGGGGCGGAGTTCCCCTCAGTCTGCACTCCAGCACCACTAACTGGCCCTTCACTGTGGACACGTCATGAAGACACTACGGGATGATGATGATGATGATGATGATGATTGAACAGGTGAACAGACAAGGATACAGACACAGAGAGATTAGAGGAAGAGAAGGGAGAAGAAAGATTGATATCAGAATAGATTCATAAAGAAACACAACCTTTAATAACAAGTTGTGTCTCATTTCCTATATGATTGTGCTCCATACAAATACATACATGTAAGTATATTTTACCTTGACAAATGTAGGAGCCACTCCATTCCCTGAATACTGTTGATTGTAGATGGGACTCTGGGTCTGGACACAGAAAAATGTATTTTATTTAATTTCTTTTACAATTATTTTACTTCTTTAATTATTTGCATAAGAATAGTCATGCATCTGCAACATTAAAGGGGAAACGAGTTACATTTACAAATTTAAACATATTTACATAATATAGTATACGTTAGTATGTTTATCAAATGAGCTGATTTATTATAATGAGATGTAATTACCCTCTGAGGGCTGACACACAGTGGCTGCACCAGGCTGGACTGTCTCTGAGCGAGGAGGTTGGAGGAGGAAGAGGAGGAGCTGGAGGAGCAGGAGAAGAGCTCTCGAGAGGAGGATGCAGAGGAGGAGGAGGAGGAGATGGTCAGAGACATGGTGCTGGTCTTCTTCTGCACCCTCTGGACACTACACAGTCATACACAGTGGTACGGATCAACAGTGAAATGATTCAATCTGCTTGTGTTTTTGTTTGTGTGTCTGTGTGTGGGTGTACAGGACTGTATGCGTGTGCAGTTGGACTTACTGTGCCATGTTTCAGGCGTTCCAGGAGGCAGTGACAGAGGTTGTTATAAACTCTACAAAGACAGAAGCAGAGTGTCAGACGTACTTACACTCACTCCAATGGCAACTTTTTTTTTCACAGCGTTGTAGAGACTCGTAACTGACGACACCCAGGTGTGAGTATGTTTCACGACATGCATAGGGTTTTGAGAGCGTGCATGGTCAGCAAAAAATCTTCCTTGAATAAAGTTCTCAGAGGTGTTGGCAATGTTGGAAAGTAGCAGCTGGATGAGCCAAAAAAAGAGAGATGTGAAACAGTTTAGAAGCTTAATTAAATCATTCAGCATATCAAAACTGCCATCTTTATCTGAGCCAACCGGACTTTTCCTCAGTAAAAAGCAGAGGTGGGGGGACTTGAGTCACATGACTCGATTCAAGTCAGACTTAAGTCTTGTCTCTGTGATGCCCTTTACAAGTTAGGAAAACCTTGGAAAATGACCCCCCCCCCCCCCCCCCCCCCCCCCCCCCCCCACACACACACACACACAGTGAAAATAAACCTTTGAAAGAAATCTAGTGTTTCTTCAGTTTCAACACGATGCACCCACAATAACAGCAAAGCCTCAAAAAGTATCATAGTACTAGTAGATGCTTTATTTCACAAACAGTTATAACAGGAGTGTTCTATTGGGATGCTTTCTGTTTTTCAGGTCAGCTTCTTGCTTCAGGAAGCATCCATATTTGACCTTGAAAAGTACACAACTGTAATGTCATGTCAGTGACATCACAGTGACAGACACTCTCTGATGTCATGTGACATCATCACAGTTATGAAATAAGAACTCAACGCACATGACTCTCCATTCTACATTTAGTAGTACAGAGAAAAGATAGTGATGTAGTAATCTAAACAAGTGAACAGTAGAGACACGGTAGTTGAATAATATACAACACAACTTTGAATATACAGCTTGTAATATACAAAACAGTTCTAAGTTTATACAGACATTTTGTATTGACAGAGAGCAATCATAATGAATGAGCTGGAGCAGTCTGACAGTCTCAGGGATCTGAGGGATGAGAATGAAACCCTTCACCAAGACAATGAGGCCCTGAACAGAAACAACAGGGACCTCAAAAGTGAGAATGAGGACCTCAAGAACACCATTGATGGGCTTCGCAGAAAAATGGAGAGCTCTCATAACAAGAAAAAAAGGACTCTCCAGTTAGAAAACAAGTTGCTTCAAGCCAATAATGAAGCCCTCATCAAAGATGTTGACATCCTGCACAGTCAAAATGATGTCCTGCGCAAAGACATTGAGGGGAAGAATGAAGAGATGCAGATTATGTTAAAGGATTTCGAAATTGAGAAGACAACCTTGAGTAAAAAAAGAGAAGAGCTGAAACAATACAAGAGCCTGGAACAAGAGCTCCAGGAGGTCAAGAAAGCTTTGTATGATAGAGAAGAAGCCATCACACAAAAGGATGAGGCGCTTCAAGAACAAGCAGAGGAGCTGACACAACAAAACAAGGCCCTGGAACAAGAGGTCCAAGAGCTTA